CCCCAAAACCCCAAAACCCCAAAACCCCAAAACCCCAAAATTTAAGGAGTTTCTAAATTATAAAATCTAGATTTAATGGGAAATTCTAATCCAAGGAGAACCAATTGCCTTAAGCATGACAGAATGAAACTTGCCACAGTTAGGAAAACTAATAGCCCTAACTCTGAAGTCTTTGACTTGTTTGTGTCATATGAAAAGGACAAAACTTGCAATGAATTAGGACTAGATTTTAAGGAAATTTTCACCCTTCCAAAGAACATGCGCCACCAGAATACAACATTTGCTGGGGCCGGGATCCAGATTGAATGTGACTTTCTGATAAATTTCGAATCATTTTTAACTGTAAGATAAAGCTTCTTTAAAATTCCCGCTTGCTATCTAATCAGAGCTTGAGAGAACTTTATTGTATAGGTAACCAGAGAAATTCCAGAATTTGACTCATTAGCTGAGATAACCCGATCACTTGATCAAGATGATATTTTTCCTGACACTCCTCAGGAGGTAAGACATTTTTAGGTCTTATTATAGTTATAGCTGAAATTAGTGCTAATTCATTCTAATCTCAAGCAAGAAGTTTTGTATTTTGATGTTATTGAGGAACTGATCAGGACAGAAACAGTATTGACTAGCCTAAATAAATTTAAAGATAGACATCTAGCTGTACTCGTGAATCCAATCTCGGGGAAACAAAGAGGGAGGAGATATTATAGGGATATTCTTGCTCCCACTCTCAACATAACAGGGATCAAGCATGACCACTTTGAAACAGACTCTGAGACATACATTGAGACATGGGTTGATCAGTTTAGCAACAAACCATTCCCATACACTGATATTATTTTAATCGGAGGAGATGGGCTTTTTAGCCAGCTGATCAACTCAATTTTAAACAATCCAGATTGCCAAGATATCATAAAGACTCCTATTGGGTTGCTCCCTGCTGGATCCCAGAACGCTACTTGCTGTGACTTGAAAGGCAAGGATGTATACCAAGCATGCAGGAATATTGTTAGGAGACCTACAGTCCAGTCAGATATAATGAAAATTCAATTTTCGGACATGGATTCTCCATTATATGCGACCGTCATTTTATGGGGGGTCCTTGGAGATGTAGTAAAATAATGCTGAAAAACTCAGGAAATATTTTAAATCTGCCAGATATACTGTCTCAGCAGCAAAAATGATGCTGTCTTCCTGCAGAATGAAGACATATAAGTGAAGCATTAAGTTTAGGAGTGATTTCATTACGGCTGAAGACTCCGGTGAGAATCTTCCTAAAGTTGAAGAAACTAAAGAAAATGATGTAATAGAGGGCACTTCATTTACCCAAAACGAATCCAATAAAATTGAAGAAAAATCTTGGAATGAACATCCAGATTCTGATCTATCTTTTCTTGGGCTAGTAACTCATGAATGTAGAAGCTCTTTAAGCAAGAAAGAAAGGTTTATGCCTCCTAGTAGGTTCAACGATGGAAGAATAAGCCTTGCAACTTTAAGGAAATGAGGGAAGATCAAACTTATCCATTTCATGAAAAAGTTCTCGAAGGCTAAGCATCTTGATTTTGAGAAATTTAATGGGATTGAAGTCTCTGAAGTGCAGATCTCACCTGGCACCAGATCTTGGTTCAATATTGATGGAGAAATCTATGAAAATGATGAAGCTAATATTAAGCTCTTGCCTTCCTTTCTTACAATGATTGGAAATGTCTATGATAAATAATATAGTTTGAGAATTTAGTCGTATATCATAAATCTTTTCAAGTCATAAAACAAGAATAGGGGTTTTGGGGTTTTGGGGTTTTGGGGTTTTGGGG